AACAATTTGGTATATAAATATCAAACATTAATGATTTGTGTTCTTGCAAAATTATATTTAATAAACAAAATTAATAATTGATAAAAGTTGTAACGATAGTTGGCACAAAATACTTTGCACAAAATCAATGCATCAACAGATTACAGACAACAAATCTAATCTAAGCGTTGTAATTATTATATTCTGAATCTGTGATAAAAAATTGACAATTATTTATTACTGATGTCAAAGTTTTTTTATCATTTTTTTGATAGAAACTTTTTTTAGCTTGTGAATCGAAGTTGTGTAGACAAATAGTATATATTTCTGAACGTAGCAGATATATGACGTACCTAGACCAAGAATTCACATATGTCCCGTCTGCTGTGAAGTCAAGCAACGACCGAGACATTAACACGTTAAGACATTAACGTAGATCTAAGCTGGACTTTTTCACATGATCAGCTCACATTCATATCGCATAGCTTTCCTCCTTACACTGGTTAATCGTTGTCTTTAGATTTGAAAAGCTTTTATCTTGGCGTGCCTCAATATTTTATTTATTAGCACACTATGTAGCACACGAGATAGACTTACGACAAGATTTTGATATTTATTTATTTAAAAAAATATTGAATTTACAAATATAATTGCGTATATATGCACAAGAAGGATATGAAATGTCTTAAATACGAAGAAAGCAGAGATATGGAAATATAATACAAATTGACAAAAAATTTTAATTTTTCTTCTTACATTTATCTTAACTATTTTCTTTGATGTGGCTTTTTGATTGTTTTTATTCTATTATTTACTATATTTTAATAATTTATGTATTATTATTTATTTGTTATATAAAACTTTAGTTTATTTATTTCACAACTGAAGAAGACTCATAGACGAAAAATATACCATTAATCTAACTTTCATAATAAATTGGAATTATTTGCATTTCTTTACTTTTATTCATATAAGTAAGAAATATTACATTTATTTTCATAATAACGATGAAAAAATTATGAAAAACTTATAGATTATTATAAATCGCATTTAAAAGTAATATAAACAACTTTGCGATGTTTTAAAACCTAGATAAAAATAATTTAAATAAATAAATAAAAGTATGTTCTAATGGAAATGTAATT